AAGAAGCTTCTCGGATGAGAGGTGAAACGTCTTCAAGCAACTTAAAGAAGTCCAGACGCTTTTCTTTGCAAGCTCCTTTGACTACGATGACCTGGATGAATGAGAACCTTCACAGACAAGGTGTAACTAATGTGATTATGCAAATATTTTGTACCCCACAAAAGCGGTTTTGGCCTTCACATTTTATTGACTCGTTTTATTTACTCAGCTCTATCTGCAGAAGAAGAGGGGATGAGAGGAAATGTCAGAAAGTAAAACACAGACTGACCAGAACAACAAAAAAGTAAGGAAGTGCTTATGTTTCTGTACCTTTTCTTCTGTTCCGTTTGTTTCAATTTAGAATTTTCAACACACAAATTTGTAGTTTTCTATCATTTTGTGATTTTTGTTTTCCAGATTCCTTAAAAACTGCCGTCTTTCACAGGTTCGGGTTGTGGTTTTCTTTGCTCTCTGCACAGACTCTTTAGCATTCCACATGCAAGAGTAGGCCCCACTGAATCTGTAATTTGTATCCTCATGGAAATGACCCAGCATTGTAATAAATTGGACAGCAATGAACTGCTAATGTTTCAGTAAGTCACTGTTGTGTTGCCTGCAATATGAGGAGGCAGCACATTCATACGCCTGCAAATACTGAATAATTTATCTGAATATGACTTATTTGGTTGGCCCGCGAGTTAATTATGTGGTCTTTCATAGCTCCCCTGATACATCCCTCACAGCATCAGTATGAGCACAGCATCGTTCCAGTAATGCAGTTAGTCCCCAAAGATACGCTGTGGGATTGCAGCCAAGATTAATGTGTGATATTAATGTTATAGCAGAGGTAACAGTGAAGTCAAACACTGCTCTGTTGGACTGGAACATACCTTCAATGTGACGCTTGTATGCCATAATGTACTAGCGGTAATGGTGTGCTGATCATAATGTGAGAATCTTAATGGAATATTTATGTGTGGCTCCCATTCAGCTTTGTTGACCAATAAAATCGGAGATGGAGTTTTTATATTTTTTACAGTGATGCAAATAATTTTAAACTTAAAATAATTTAGTTAGCTTTCTTTGTTCTTTATTGCTTTAAGTAAGGTTTCAAACATAAAATGTGACTTTTTTGTGGTTAGTCTGATTATACAGAAGTACAATTATTAAACCAAAGCCACAAGCAAAGGGACACAGGTTTATTGCTTATTGTTTAATTCTGCATGAATTTTACAGAAAGGCTATTCTTC